AGGCCTCCGGACAGGACAGCAGCCCGTCTGGTTACATCCTGGTGGAGCCATCCCTGCCTCCCTCAATCATTTACGCCATTAGTGTAGATGGTTAATGGGAACAAAAGGCGACTCCAGGGTGTCTTATCCCCAGGGCTATCTGCATTCTCAGCGGGCAGTTAAACATCTTTACTTTTTCGCGCCCTTTAGGGGCTGGAAGCATTCCTTTGTCTTTTAGATTGTAGAGCTAACGGTCCCTTAAGTACACTGCCGGAGAAAGTATCAATTGTTAGTAAAGTAAAGGGCTGAAAAGCTAAACTAAACTATATTCTTCAAGAATAAAAAGAGAAATAAGTATACACATAACCTTGATAGAAAGCATGCATATAATTCAGAAAATATCGGGGGTGTTGGCCGGCCATCTTCACCGAGGGGCATTCTTGCACCCCTCGGCCCTTCTACTCACCAATTATTTATTATTTATTGCTTTTAGGAGAAAACCTCTATAACATTTTAACAGAAAGCAGAAGGTCAAGAATAATATATAGATACTTCTTGATCAACCAATTAACCAGCAAACTTAGAAGGACGATGCATATGTATATTTAGACAAAGAACTGGAGGGAGAAGGAAACATTAACCAGATGGAGGCCATAAACCTAATTCGACATCTTATCTGGGCAGGATTCCTTTCTGATTGTCTCACATGGGACTGTGTGCTCCTCCATTAATTAACTGAAAAATATCTTGAAAGTTACCTGCAGGTGGTCACATTCTCTTACTATATCTAATTTTCCCGGAGGTAGTGCCTCCCAAGCAGCCACCCAAAGGAGTGAAAACTGGAGGTTAAGAAGGAAAGGAATGAAGGGCAATTAGAAGCAGCACAGGTTTCAGAACTATGTGAGGGGCTGGCCGGTTATTCTTCACCAAGGGGCGGCCCTGCACCCCTCGGCGTTAATCGGCTGGACCCTGTCAAACAGCCGATCAAATGATGTAGCCACGGCTCCCAGCATCTCCCCCTTTTTTACTTTTTAAAGCCAACAGATGTAATTCTGCTGAAACCCGACTTATAGAGTTGAATATTAACTTGAGAAAGACTGGAAAAAGGCAAAGACAAATCATTAGAGCACCAATGGTGACAGCAATATTAACAATAAAGGAGCTCCAATTTTTCTCCCTACAAAAGAGGTCAGAGAGGTGAAAAAGTTGGTGGCCACTTCAGAAGCAGAAAAGGATTCTTCAGCCTGATTAATATTATTAATTTGTCTATGTAAGTCACAAATGTCTAGACTAAAGTCTGAATGGTTCCATATTCCCTGGATATGATTTTTAATTTTTTCCCAAGAGTGTAGAGATTGATTTACCTTAAGAGGAGTCCCACAGATCCATCTATAGGACACATAACATCGCAAGGCCAGTTTAACCTTCAAATTTGTAAGTTCTTGTCCTATCTGTAATATTGCCTCTTCCAGAGCGTTTACCTTTGCCTCCAGTTTTTCGTCTATTATTTCTTGGGTAGTTAGGGCAAGAGTGGTATTCTTAGAAAGATCGTCTACATAAGAGGCAGTATGTATTTGTTTGGTCAGCCACCCCCGATATTTTCTGAATTATATGCATGCTTTCTATCAAGGTTATGTGTATACTTATTTCTCTTTTTTATTCTTGAAGATATATAGTTTAGTTTAGCTTTTCAGCCCTTTACTTTACTAACAATATGATACTTTCTCCGGCAGTGTACTTAAGGGACCGTTAGCTCTACAATCTAAAAGACAAAGGAATGCTTCCACCCCCTAAAGGGCGCGAAAAAGTAAAGATGTTTAACTGCCCGCTGAGAATGCAGATAGCCCTGGGGATAAGACACCCTGGAGTCACCTTTTGTTCCCATTAACCATCTACACTAATGACGTAAATGATTGAGGGAGGCAGGGATGGCTCCACCAGGATGTAACCAGACAGACTGCTGTCCTGTCCGGAGGCCTGGACCTTCTCTCTTTGATTTAACTTTACTGTGAATTACAACAGATGCCTAGGTACCTATCTCCTTTAGCTTAGAGACAACACACACTAGTTAATTGCGGAGAAGACGATCATTAACCTTATGCTCTATAGAATGGAATGCTAATAAATAGTCTTGTGCTCGTTTCTTACTTCCTTATCTCTCTGAGAATATTTGTAAAACTATTTCTGTACTAATCCTGAAAAATATATAAACGACACTTGTGCACAGTAAAGTCGGACTTGCTAACACCAACCCAAGTCTCACATCCCCTTTATTTTCCCCTTCCCTCATCGCGCCGACGCCGTCCATCCCTCAGGAACCTGGACTCCGCCGGGGCGGGACCCCGGCAAGTGGCGCCCGAACAGGGACCTGAAGGGTAAGTTCCCCCCACTTCTCGGGATGGATAGGATCCTACCCAGGGCTGGAAATAAGAGCCCCCTTTAGCCCCTCTCTGCCAAAGGGAGAGTGAGGAAAGGACAGAAGGGTAGTAGGTGTTAAGGACTTTGAGAAGTTTTTGCCCCCTCTAGAAAGGGAGAGTGAAATAAAATAATAATAATAATAATAATAATAATAATAATAATAATTGAGAAGTTTTTGCTCCTCTCTAGAAAGGGAGAGTGAAATAAAATAATAATAATAATAATAATAATAATAATTGAGAAGTTTTTGCCTCTCTCTAGAAAGGGAGAGTGAAATAAAAAATAATAATAATAATAATAATAATAATAATAATAATAATAGAGAAGTTTTAGTCCCTCTCCGGAAAGGGAGAGTGAAATAAGGTTTGGAAGAATAAGAAGTATTAAGAACTTTTGAGAAGTTTTGGGCCATACTGAGTCTAAAGAAAGAAGGCTCTGTATAGAAATAATAACATGTATGCTTGCAAAAAAGAGACATAAAAGCCTCTTTGGGACAGATTTCTACATTCCTACATTTTTACAAGAACAATGTCCCTGGTTCCCCAAAGAGGAAACTGTTAATTTGGAAACCTGGATGATAGTGTGAACACAACTTAGAAGCTGATTTTCTTTATAAAGAGGTTATATCAACTTTGCCTAAGTATGTTTTAAAATGTCTAACTGGGAATACTTCCTTGTGCAACATTATAAGAGCAAGACCTGTTAAGTTCTGGCCGTGGGTCCTGTCACCACGCAGCAGCTCTGCCTGCCCATGGGTCCTGTCCCCATGCTATTCCACGCTATTCTCTAAATAAAAGAGCACTGCCACCAAATCTTGAGAGCCCAGGAAATCTTTCTCTTGACTCTTCGGCTCACCAACCCTGCATCATTTCTGGTGGACTTGCTTCATCGGCTTGTGAGCTCAAGTTCTGGTAAGTGCCCTATTTTTTCCTTGTGACTTTCTCTTTTCCAAGGATGGAACTAAATTCACTGCTCCATCGGGAACCTTCTCGGACAGCTGTATGAATCCACTTTTGCTGCCCATGGCTACTCTATGGGGCAAATTGTGGCATTCAGCCTGAAGAGAATCAGTACCTTAATTTGTGACTTACATAGACAAATTAATAATATTAATCAGGCTGAAGAATCCTTTTCTGCTTCTGAAGTGGCCACCAACTTTTTCACCTCTCTGACCTCTTTTGTAGGGGAGAAAAATTGGAGCTCCTTTATTGTTAATATTGCTGTCACCATTGGTGCTCTAATGATTTGTCTTTGCCTTTTTCCAGTCTTTCTCAAGTTAATATTCAACTCTATAAGTCGGGTTTCAGCAGAATTACATCTGTTGGCTTTAAAAAGTAAAAAAGGGGGAGATGCTGGGAGCCGTGGCTACATCATTTGATCGGCTGTTTGACAGGGTCCAGCCGATTAACGCCGAGGGGTGCAGGGCCGCCCCTTGGTGAAGAATAACCGGCCAGCCCCTCACATAGTTCTGAAACCTGTGCTGCTTCTAATTGCCCTTCATTCCTCTTCCTATCTTAACCTCCAGTTTTCACTCCTTTGGGTGGCTGCTTGGGAGGCACTACCTCCTGGGAAAATTAGATATAGTAAGAGAATGTGACCACCTGCAGGTAACTTTCAAGATATTTTTCAGTTAATTAATGGAGGAGCACACAGTCCCATGTGAGACAATCAGAAAGGAATCCTGCCCAGATAAGATGTCGAATTAGGTTTATGGCCTCCATCTGGTTAATGTTTCCTTCTCCCTCCAGTTCTTTGTCTAAATATACATATGCATCGTCCTTCTAAGTTTGTTGGTTAATTGGTTGATCAAGAAGTATCTATATATTATTCTTGACCTTCTGCTTTCTGTTAAAATGTTATAGAGGTTTTCTCCTAAAAGCATAAATAATAAATAATTGGTGAGTAGAAGGGCCGAGGGGTGCAAGAATGCCCCTCGGTGAAGGATGGCCGGCCAACACCCCGATATTTTCTGAATTATATGCATGCTTTCTATCAAGGTTATGTGTATACTTATTTCTCTTTTTATTCTTGAAGATATATAGTTTAGTTTAGCTTTTCAGCCCTTTACTTTACTAACAATGTGATACTTTCTCCGGCAGTGTACTTAAGGGACCGTTAGCTCTACAATCTAAAAGACAAAGGAATGCTTCCAGCCCCTAAAGGGCGCGAAAAAGTAAAGATGTTTAACTGCCCGCTGAGAATGCAGATAGCCCTGGGGATAAGACACCCTGGAGTCGCCTTTTGTTCCCATTAACCATCTACACTAATGGCGTAAATGATTGAGGGAGGCAGGGATGGCTCCACCAGGATGTAACCAGACGGGCTGCTGTCCTGTCCGGAGGCCTGGACCTTCTCTCTTTGATTTAACTTTACCATGAATTACAACAGACGCCTAGGTACCTATCTCCTTTAGCTTAGAGACAACAAACACTAGTTAATTGCGGAGAAGACGATCATTAACCTTATGCTCTATAGAATGGAATGCTAATAAATATTCTTGTGTTCGTTTCTTACTTCCTTATCTCTCTGAGAATATTTGTAATACTATTTCTGTACTAATCCTGAAAAATATATAAACGACACTTGTGCACAGTAAAGTCGGACTTGCTAACACCAACCCAAGTCTCACGTCCCCTTTATTTTCCCCCTCCCTCATCGCGCCGACGCCGTCCATCCCTCAGGAACCTGGACTCCGCCGGGGCGGGACCCCGGCAAGTGGCGCCCGAACAGGGACCTGAAGGGTAAGTTCCCCCCACTTCTCGGGACGGATAGGATCCTACCCAGGGCTGGAAAGAAGAGCCCCCTTTAGCCCCTCTCTGCCAAAGGGAGAGTGAGGAAAGGACAGAAGGGTAGTAGGTGTTAAGAACTTTGAGAAGTTTTGGCCCCTCTCTAGAAAGGGAGAGTGAAATAAAAAAATAATAATAATAATAATAATAATAATAATTGAGAAGTTTTTGCCCCTCTCTAGAAAGGGAGAGTGAAAATAAAAAAATAATAATAATAATAATAATAATAATAATAATAATTGAGAAGTTTTTGCCCCTCTCTAGAAAGGGAGAGTGAAATAAAAAAAAAATATAATAATAATAGAGAAGTTTTAGTCCCTCTCCGGAAAGGGAGAGTGAAATTAGGTTAGGAAGAATAAGAAGGATTAAGAACTTTTGAGAAGTTTTGGGCCATACTGAGTCTAAAGAAAGAAGGCTCTGTATAGAAATAATAACATGTATGCTTGCAAAAAAGAGACATAAAAGCCTCTTTGGGACAGATTTCTACATTCCTACATTTTTACAAGAACAATGTCCCTGGTTCCCCGAAGAGGAAACTGTTAATTTGGAAACCTGGATGATAGTGGGAACACAACTTAGAAGCTGATTTTCTTTATAAAGAGGTTATATCAACTTTGCCTAAGTATGTTTTAAAATGTCTAACTGGGAATACTTCCTTGTGCAACATTATAAGAGCAAGACCTGTTAAGTTCTGGCCGTGGGTCCTGTCACCACGCAGCAGCTCTGCCTGCCCATGGGTCCTGTCCCCATGCTATTCCACGCTATTCTCTAAATAAAAGAGCACTGCCACCAAATCTTGAGAGCCCAGGAAATCTTTCTCTCGACTCCTCGGCTCACCAACCCTGCATCATTTCTGGTGGACTTGCTTCATCGGCTTGTGAGCTCAAGTTCTGGTAAGTGCCCTATTTTTTCCTTGTGACTTTCTCTTTTTCAAGGATGGATCTAAATTCACTGCTCCATCGGGAACCTTCTCGGACAGCTGTATGAATCCACGTTTGCTGCCCATGGCTACTCTATGGGGCAAATTGTGGCATTCAGCCTGAAGAGAATCAGTACCTTAAGCCTGAGGGTGATGGAAAATGAATTAATCCATTCCTTCCTGACTCTATCTCTAATAGACAAATTTTACATGGGCACGGGTCGGCCACTTAAGTCATTAGGACGGCCGCCAATCTCCAAGACTCCCGTGGAAGGTTTCTTTTCCTAAGGCTGGAATGGGACCCCTCCCTCTGGCACCTGACCATACTCTGAACTGCGGGAAAAGTCCCAATCGGGACTCCAGTTCAAGGAAAGTACCAAACTCTAACCTTTGGTTGAGTATGGGAACCCCTTCTTGGGAGAATGGCTCCAGGCTGCAATTGGGTAGAATGTCCCCCAGACTGGCGGAAAGTTCCTCACTGTTTTTCTCTATCCCTTTATCCTGGGAACCATTCACCAGGCACTTATGACTGCCAGGCATAATAGGGAAGGTATACAAGAGATACATGCTGGGGGACGCCCCCATCACCCCTTGCTATAGGAATCTCACAGGCAGAACAAGTAGGACGCTGCCCTAGGCTCAGGAGACTTGCAAGATAATGGACCCTTTTCTTTCCTCTCTCTTAAAGTTACAGTGACCATTTTGGCTCCTTTTGAGCTTTGCAATTGAGAAACAAAGAAATCTTTAAAATATCATAGTCTCCACCTCTGGGAGCGCCCCCCCTCTGGTTTCCGGGCTTGATCACCCTGGCAACCAAGTGGGGTGCCCTCTCTTGGAGATTGACTCATTACCTGATTGATGGCAGTGATTTTTAAAACAATAGGTGTGAAGGCTCTGTGTCTGTGTGTCTATATGTGTGTGATATTTTTACCTCCGGGTGATATGGCCAATACTAAGAGTTCTGTTTAATTGGCTTAAATTAAGCGCTCACATACATTCTAAATACAATAGAAATTAACCCACTGTCTTTTAAGATGATATGGATTAATCTTTGGTTAATGAAAACTTAAGTTTGTTGGTTTGATTGAAATGTTTGGATATGTCCTCAGAGTTAGCACTGCATATGCAAATATGCAGCCTGGGTTTCCTAGTCAAATAAGTTCATATTGTCTGTTAGAAATTTGTCGGCATAATAACTTTAAATGATAGCTGTTTGTCTAATGTCTGAAAGTTCTTGTGGGTAATCTAAACATCATTATTGGGAACAAATGGTTTCTAACTCTACCTAAAAGACAAATCTGTTTTGTTAATTCTAAACTAATCAGGCTTATTTGGTCTAAAGTTACATGGGAAACATTGTCAGATAAAGTGATAATAATCTTTCTTGGTTGGTAGTATGTGGGTAAATGTTACTGATATAAGTGTTTTAGAAATTATATACATGCCTAAATTCTGATCTTCCTATCAGCCATAATTCTAATTATTAGTTTAAGGTGTTGTATATCACAGAGATAACCAAGTTTCTCTGTCAATCATCATTTTTAAGTCTTTTATTGTTTACAGTCAGTTATTGTTTTACTCTATTTTTTGCTTTTGCAAATATGTCTCATCTTCAGGAAAATTCATGGAAAGGACTCTAACACTCTAGAATACAGGTTTCTAATCAACGCTCAGATTGTAAAACTAAACTGGGTAAAAATTACAGAACTCCGACAGAGAAGCTGATGACCTCACAAACTGCTGACAGAAGATTAAGATCAAGAACCAATTACACAGGACAGAATAAACTGATAGGGATGATTATAATTTTTATGACTTTTTAATTGATATATTACTGATTTTTAATATTTTGCTTTTTTCCAGAGTTAAGAAAATCTTTTTCTCTATTCTCTTAAAGAACTATGACTTACAGCAATTTATAAACAAAATTGAAACATTTGTCTTTTCCTCGCTATCTGAGCCCCCCAAAACAACAATTGGAAAAATTACAAGGAGGAGAGCTCAAATATAGCTCTCCCCGTCTTTTACTAAGTCATGCTCTGTTTGTGATAAATTTTCTCAATTTAGATTTTCATGGTGAGTCACCTATGATGAGACATTGGAATGATAATAAACAAAATATTTTACTACAGGTCAAATGGAAGGACCTGCTTACAGGACAGTGGAAAGGTCCTGATATTCTCTTAACTATCGGTCGAGGATATGCTTGCATATTTCCACAGGACGCTTCATCTCCTTGTGGATTCCTGATCGTCTGATTCGACATGTACCGCAAGCAGCCTCTGCCCCCACCTCCACCAAGGCAGACGAGCCCCAGCTTCCGAGTCAAGATAGCTGATGAATCTCCCCCAGTAGCCCAGATGAGACGACTTTCACTCCGCGAGAAACCTTCTAAACGTCTGGCTCCCTGTCCGCACTCGCCTCCGCCCTCCTATTCTTTCTACTGACTCTGGCAAAATTCAACCACACTTGTGCCAGGCCATAGCCGCTTTACAGAATGTTGTATTGATTAGACCAACAGGATCACAGTTGTATAAGGTTAAGGCCTGTGTCCTGGCCCCTTATGTTTTCTTGGCCTTTCCTGTACACAGTTTTGCTATGTCTATCTCTTTTAATAATTCTCGTTATGATATCTCCTGTCCAGATTGTATTTTTAACTAATTGTTTGAGCCCTGATATAGAGGTACGAGCTGTAATCATATTACAACAACCCTCCTATCTTATGCTACCCGTTCATTTGTCTGAACCCTGGTATGATGATGTTGGATTGCTTACTTTGAAACAGGCTACTGATCTTTTACAGCGCCCCCGCCGGTTTATCTCTGCTTTAATATGGGGTATCTCAGCCTTGATTGCATTAGCAACCTCTCTCACTGTATCTGCTGTAGCGCTGACCAAACAAATACATACTGCCTCTTATGTAGACGATCTTTCTAAGAATACCACTCTTGCCCTAACTACCCAAGAAATAATAGACGAAAAACTGGAGGCAAAGGTAAACGCTCTGGAAGAGGCAATATTACAGATAGGACAAGAACTTACAAATTTGAAGGTTAAACTGGCCTTGCGATGTTATGTGTCCTATAGATGGATCTGTGGGACTCCTCTTAAGGTAAATCAATCTCTACACTCTTGGGAAAAAATTAAAAATCATATCCAGGGAATATGGAACCATTCAGACTTTAGTCTAGACATTTGTGACTTACATAGACAAATTAATAATATTAATCAGGCTGAAGAATCCTTTTCTGCTTCTGAAGTGGCCACCAACTTTTTCACCTCTCTGACCTCTTTTGTAGGGGAGAAAAATTGGAGCTCCTTTATTGTTAATATTGCTGTCACCATTGGTGCTCTAATGATTTGTCTTTGCCTTTTTCCAGTCTTTCTCAAGTTAATATTCAACTCTATAAGTCGGGTTTCAGCAGAATTACATCTGTTGGCTTTAAAAAGTAAAAAAGGGGGAGATGCTGGGAGCCGTGGCTACATCATTTGATCGGCTGTTTGACAGGGTCCAGCCGATTAACGCCGAGGGGTGCAGGGCCGCCCCTTGGTGAAGAATAACCGGCCAGCCCCTCACATAGTTCTGAAACCTGTGCTGCTTCTAATTGCCCTTCATTCCTCTTCCTATCTTAACCTCCAGTTTTCACTCCTTTGGGTGGCTGCTTGGGAGGCACTACCTCCTGGGAAAATTAGATATAGTAAGAGAATGTGACCACCTGCAGGTAACTTTCAAGATATTTTTCAGTTAATTAATGGAGGAGCACACAGTCCCATGTGAGACAATCAGAAAGGAATCCTGCCCAGATAAGATGTCGAATTAGGTTTATGGCCTCCATCTGGTTAATGTTTCCTTCTCCCTCCAGTTCTTTGTCTAAATATACATATGCATCGTCCTTCTAAGTTTGTTGGTTAATTGGTTGATCAAGAAGTATCTATATATTATTCTTGACCTTCTGCTTTCTGTTAAAATGTTATAGAGGTTTTCTCCTAAAAGCATAAATAATAAATAATTGGTGAGTAGAAGGGCCGAGGGGTGCAAGAATGCCCCTCGGTGAAGGATGGCCGGCCAACACCCCCGATATTTTCTGAATTATATGCATGCTTTCTATCAGAGTTATGTGTATACTTATTTCTCTTTTTATTCTTGAAGATATATAGTTTAGTTTAGCTTTTCAGCCCTTTACTTTACTAACAATGTGATACTTTCTCCGGCAGTGTACTTAAGGGACCGTTAGCTCTACAATCTAAAAGACAAAGGAATGCTTCCAGCCCCTAAAGGGCGCGAAAAAGTAAAGATGTTTAACTGCCCGCTGAGAATGCAGATAGCCCTGGGGATAAGACACCCTGGAGTCGCCTTTTGTTCCCATTAACCATCTACACTAATGGCGTAAATGATTGAGGGAGGCAGGGATGGCTCCACCAGGATGTAACCAGACGGGCTGCTGTCCTGTCCGGAGGCCTGGACCTTCTCTCTTTGATTTAACTTTACCATGAATTACAACAGACGCCTAGGTACCTATCTCCTTTAGCTTAGAGACAACAAACACTAGTAATTGCGGAGAAGACGATCATTAACCTTATGCTCTATAGAATGGAATGCTAATAAATATTCTTGTGTTCGTTTCTTACTTCCTTATCTCTCTGAGAATATTTGTAATACTATTTCTGTACTAATCCTGAAAAATATATAAACGACACTTGTGCACAGTAAAGTCGGACTTGCTAACACCAACCCAAGTCTCACGTCCCCTTTATTTTCCCCTCCTCATCGCGCGACGCCGTCCATCCCTCAGGAACCTGGACTCCGCCGGGGCGGGACCCCGGCAAGTGCGCCCGAACAGGGACCTGAAGGGTAAGTTCCCCCACTTCTCGGGACGGATAGGATACCCTACAGGGCTGGAAAGAAGAGCCCCCTTTAGCCCCTCTCTGCCAAAGGGAGAGTGAGGAAAGGACAGAAGGGTAGTAGGTGTTAAGAACTTTGAGAAGTTTTGGCCCCTCTCTAGAAAGGGAAGTGAAATAAAAAAAAATAATAATAATAATAATAATAATAATTGAGAAGTTTTTGCCCCTCTCTAGAAAGGGAGAGTGAAATAAATAAAAAAAATAATAATAATAATAATAATAATTATATGAGAAGTTTTTGCCCCTCTCTAGAAAGGGAGAGTGAAATAAAAAAAAATAATAATAATAATAGAGAAGTTTTAGTCCCTCTCCGGAAAGGGAGAGTGAAATTAGGTTAGGAAGAATAAGAAGGATTAAGAACTTTTGAGAAGTTTTGGGCCATACTGAGTCTAAAGAAAGAAGGCTCTGTATAGAAATAATAACATGTATGCTTGCAAAAAAGAGACATAAAAGCCTCTTTGGGACAGATTTCTACATTCCTACATTTTTACAAGAACAATGTCCCTGGTTCCCCGAAGAGGAAACTGTTAATTTGGAAACCTGGATGATAGTGGGAACACAACTTAGAAGCTGATTTTCTTTATAAAGAGGTTATATCAACTTTGCCTAAGTATGTTTTAAAATGTCTAACTGGGAATACTTCCTTGTGCAACATTATAAGAGCAAGACCTGTTAAGTTCTGGCCGTGGGTCCTGTCACCACGCAGCAGCTCTGCCTGCCCATGGGTCCTGTCCCCATGCTATTCCACGCTATTCTCTAAATAAAAGAGCACTGCCACCAAATCTTGAGAGCCCAGGAAATCTTTCTCTCGACTCCTCGGCTCACCAACCCTGCATCATTTCTGGTGGACTTGCTTCATCGGCTTGTGAGCTCAAGTTCTGGTAAGTGCCCTATTTTTTCCTTGTGACTTTCTCTTTTTCAAGGATGGATCTAAATTCACTGCTCCATCGGGAACCTTCTCGGACAGCTGTATGAATCCACGTTTGCTGCCCATGGCTACTCTATGGGGCAAATTGTGGCATTCAGCCTGAAGAGAATCAGTACCTTAAGCCTGAGGGTGATGGAAAATGAATTAATCCATTCCTTCCTGACTCTATCTCTAATAGACAAATTTTACATGGGCACGGGTCGGCCACTTAAGTCATTAGGACGGCCGCCAATCTCCAAGACTCCCGTGGAAGGTTTCTTTTCCTAAGGCTGGAATGGGACCCCTCCCTCTGGCACCTGACCATACTCTGAACTGCGGGAAAAGTCCCAATCGGGACTCCAGTTCAAGGAAAGTACCAAACTCTAACCTTTGGTTGAGTATGGGAACCCCTTCTTGGGAGAATGGCTCCAGGCTGCAATTGGGTAGAATGTCCCCCAGACTGGCGGAAAGTTCCTCACTGTTTTTCTCTATCCCTTTATCCTGGGAACCATTCACCAGGCACTTATGACTGCCAGGCATAATAGGGAAGGTATACAAGAGATACATGCTGGGGGACGCCCCCATCACCCCTTGCTATAGGAATCTCACAGGCAGAACAAGTAGGACGCTGCCCTAGGCTCAGGAGACTTGCAAGATAATGGACCCTTTTCTTTCCTCTCTCTTAAAGTTACAGTGACCATTTTGGCTCCTTTTGAGCTTTGCAATTGAGAAACAAAGAAATCTTTAAAATATCATAGTCTCCACCTCTGGGAGCGCCCCCCCTCTGGTTTCCGGGCTTGATCACCCTGGCAACCAAGTGGGGTGCCCTCTCTTGGAGATTGACTCATTACCTGATTGATGGCAGTGATTTTTAAAACAATAGGTGTGAAGGCTCTGTGTCTGTGTGTCTATATGTGTGTGATATTTTTACCTCCGGGTGATATGGCCAATACTAAGAGTTCTGTTTAATTGGCTTAAATTAAGCGCTCACATACATTCTAAATACAATAGAAATTAACCCACTGTCTTTTAAGATGATATGGATTAATCTTTGGTTAATGAAAACTTAAGTTTGTTGGTTTGATTGAAATGTTTGGATATGTCCTCAGAGTTAGCACTGCATATGCAAATATGCAGCCTGGGTTTCCTAGTCAAATAAGTTCATATTGTCTGTTAGAAATTTGTCGGCATAATAACTTTAAATGATAGCTGTTTGTCTAATGTCTGAAAGTTCTTGTGGGTAATCTAAACATCATTATTGGGAACAAATGGTTTCTAACTCTACCTAAAAGACAAATCTGTTTTGTTAATTCTAAACTAATCAGGCTTATTTGGTCTAAAGTTACATGGGAAACATTGTCAGATAAAGTGATAATAATCTTTCTTGGTTGGTAGTATGTGGGTAAATGTTACTGATATAAGTGTTTTAGAAATTATATACATGCCTAAATTCTGATCTGTCCTATCAGCCATAATTCTAATTATTAGTTTAAGGTGTTGTATATCACAGAGATAACCAAGTTTCTCTGTCAATCATCATTTTTAAGTCTTTTATTGTTACAGTCAGTTATTGTTTTACTCTATTTTTTGCTTTTGCAAATATGTCTCATCTTCAGGAAAATTCATGGAAAGGACTCTAACACTCTAGAATACAGGTTTCTAATCAACGCTCAGATTGTAAAACTAAACTGGGTAAAAATTACAGAACTCCGACAGAGAAGCTGATGACCTCACAAACTGCTGACAGAAGATTAAGATCAAGAACCAATTACACAGGACAGAATAAACTGATAGGGATGATTATAATTTTTATGACTTTTTAATTGATATATTACTGATTTTTAAATTTTGCTTTTTTCCAGAGTTAAGAAAATCTTTTTCTCTATTCTCTTAAAGAACTATGACTTACAGCAATTTATAAACAAAATTGAAAATTTGTCTTTTCCGCTATCTGAGCCCCCAAAACAACAATTGGAAAAATTACAAGGAGGAGAGCTCAAATATAGCTCTCCC